CTACATCTGGCAATCAGCAATTCAGCAACATCTAGGAAATACTAAGGAGAATTTCTGGTTCTGTTGTGAATAGACCATTGGAAGTGAATTTATTTTTTTTCTATTCCATATTTGTGGATAATATTAACAGACCTTAGAATTCTGCTAGAAGAAATCCTTTATCTTTTTGCACATTTCCCTTCTCCCTTCCTACATTATTCTTTATGTTGTTAATATTACTCATCAATTTTAGAGTACAGTCTCTAAGAAATATATTACAAACTGTAGAGTATACAGCATTTCTGAATTTTTACAATAGACAAAAGCAGGCTGCCTGGTAGTCATCCAACTGAAACTAAGTTTTATAGTGCTAGGCTTCTGGAAATTACGGAAAACATTAGGTTTTCTTGAGCTATATTTGATAGTTATTGATATATTCTTTTAAATTAAGCATAGGTGATCTAAAATGATCTCTGCCATACCTTTCAGTAAATTTCATTGAATTTGTTATCTAGTAGGCAAGAAGATAATACTTTTATTTTTCACCTGAATTCGCTGAAGCAGTGCAGAAACTTGAGATTACCATCAATGCAATTGTTTATTGAATAGGCAGATGTTCTGCACGTAGAGAATTTTAATTCTAAAATGTTCTCATGTGCATGGTCATCATCAAGCCAACATGTTTAGTAAGATTTATACATTGTACAGTGGTTGTTCAAAGTTATCAGAGATACTCATTTTATGGATTGTGTTTTAATGAACAGAACAAGAATTGCATTTGAACTCAAGCTGCAAAAGGCAAACAAATCGACGGATTTACGTATCCCTTCTTCTCTGTGTACAATGTTTAATGTCTTAGTCGATGCCAAAAAACAGACAGCTAAACTCTGCATACTGGATGGGGGGCAAGAGGTAAGTGGAATTTTGTGCGTCTAATTCCTATGTTCGGTTGATCTGAAAGATCTCACACTGCAGAGAGTCCCTAATAGATTCATTTCAAGCTAACTGAAATGCATCACATAGCTCTGTTTGTACAGAATCATGCGTCAGCTGCTTCCTGGAAGCATCATGCAAGACACAACCCCTTGTCTTCCACCAGAGGAGACACAGAGTGCTTCTGTAATTTATTTGCTTTGACCTGTGAGTCTGTTAAAACTTCAGAGAATTTCTTGACTCACAGCCTGTACAGCAAATGTTGGGTTACAACAGAGAAAGAGCCCACTTCAGGACTCTTCTGTAGTATTAAAATAGAGCCAAAACATTGGCCTTTGCAGCCAGGTTTTAAATGAGTAAGGCTTGGTTTTAAATGGCTCATAGACCCAGCATTCATGCCTGTGAATATGCTGAAAATAGAGGTAAGAAAGAATCGCATAAAATCACGTAATTTAATGGGATTTTTTTATTTGGCCTCAAGAGACTGGGGCGATTTTAGCAGTAGTTGCTGCCAGGACTGTGGATACGCCACAGTGGAGCACCGAAGTGCTTTTGAAGGATATGTAGACTTCACTGGCTCATAGACCCAGCATTCATGCCTGTGAATATGCTGAAAATAGAGGTAAGAAAGAATCGCATAAAATCACGTAATTTAATGGGATTTTTTTATTTGGCCTCAAGAGACTGGGGCGATTTTAGCAGTAGTTGCTGCCAGGACTGTGGATACGCCACAGTGGAGCACCGAAGTGCTTTTGAAGGATATGTAGACTTCACTGTGCTCTTCCC